TTGCAGCAATGTAGGAGCAAAAGAATTCATGATCCCCTGATTGCAGCCCAAATTGTAATTATTTTTTATATTAGGACTAATACAGTATTGCCAGTAGGCAGATTTCAGAAACCTAACAGGCCCCACACATTTTGCATGTAGGAAAGGTGGGACCTTGTCATGGAACCCTGAGGTAGAACTCAGACATATTCGATTTACGGCAGATAGACAGCAAATGCAATACTCGCTGCTAGGAAATATCAGTCAAGTCATCTATAGTTCTGATTTTGATAACGTTCCTTTCCGGTTATGAAGTCTCAACAATTCTGCGTCATAGGGTGATTTCAAATATGCTTAGGATTTTCACTTACTGTAGATGAAAAAAATAAAAAAAAAATCCTCATTAAAAAGCCTTCATAGTAACTTCCTAAAACATATCCCTCCCACCCATCACTGCAGACATCTGAATGGGGATAGTATCCTAATCTCTCACAGCCTCATTCCTCTTGAATGGTTTTTGTGTTACCACGAAAGTATTACATGGTGATTTCAGGAATGGAGTCGGACCGTAGAAACCGGGACGAGATTGGTGAAGACAAGGCAGGATGAACAGTTTTCTCTTTCTTCTTCCTTTTTTTCCCCTGTCCCTTCTCCCCTTCTTTCTGCCTCCCTCCCCTTTCCCACTCAAATGCCCAACTATACATTTCAGGCTTTCTCTAATTAACACCAGAAAGAGAGGTACACCTGAGTTCCGTTGGATGCCTTCTCTTTCAACTGATGGGGGCTTTAGTTCATGGGTCAGGGTGCCCAGTGGTCACAGTCATGCAAAAACACCCACTGAGAAAGTGGCTTCGGGAACTTGTCTTGGGGACTCAAACAATGCAGTTCATAGGCCACGGAGGGTGGGTTTTAGGAAGAAATTTTATTGTATTATTTGGAGGTGGAGCTTAGTAGAAAAAAATCAGAGATACTGGGTAACTGGAGGAGTCCCGTCGATGGCGTAATGTCATGCTTCCAATCTGAGACTCTCTCCAGGATTGATGGCAGAAACTAAAGTGAAGCATGGGGGTGAGCTGGGGTGTCACTGAGTTTTATGGAGGCCCTTTTTTGTGTTAGGTGGACTTTAACTTAGGAATTGGGTTGTAGGACATGGAGTTCCCCAAAGTGTTTACTGAGGCCTTTCCTCTAACTTCAGGTGGACTTTAGCTGAAGAATTCAGGCATTAGATACTCACCATTCCACACAAAGTCTACTGGGTCAGTGACCATGTGTTTTTGTCTCATGACTTTGAAGAGTGAAATTCAAGGCCCACAGAGGGGGAGTTTTTCGGAAGAAGGTTCATTGTAGATTCATAGGTGAGAGTTTGAGAGAGTGAGAAGGAGGAACTCCTGGGTGGCAGGGGCAGATCCAGGAATGGGTGTCAGCAGACGCTATGCTGTGTAGCTTCTTGGCAGGGTTCTCGACCTCAGGAGAAGAGACAACAAGGAAACAGGGGCCAGAGCCCTTCTGGCATGCCTGTTTCCTGTCAGGGACATCCCTGGAACTCTATTGCTTTGGGATCTCTGTCCTACATAATTAGTTACTGTCACCTGTTCTCAGCATAGTGGACATGTGCTTAGCACATCCAGACATCAAATACAAATTGTGAAAAATCTAACAAATGCTTTATATTGATTCCACATCATGACTGAAATCAATTAAAGACCTTCCCCAAGCTTCTCTGCAAGACTTAAAACACCTCCACATGAGTGGCTTGAAGGGAAGCAGATTCTTCCCACCATAGGTTAAGCACTGTCTGCAAGAGAGTTTTTAAGGACAGACCACTAGATTTCAAACAAAACCTACATGGAGCCCAAGCCTTGAACTTCTTTTTTTTTTTTTTTTTTTCTTTTATTTTTAAATATTTATTTATTTATTTATTATGTATACAGTATTCTGTCTGCATGTATGCCTGCAGGTCAGAAGAGGGCACCAGACCTCATTCCAGATGGTTGTGAGCCACCATGTGGTTGCTGGGAATTGAACTCAGGACCTTTGGAAGAGCAGACAATGCTCTTAACCACTGAGCCATCTCTCCAGCCCCCAGCCTTGAACTTCTTGCAGAGCAGGTAGTAATTTTACATTTGTCTTAAAAAGAAAAATATTGACTGAGCAACCTTAGGAGGACACGACTAAAATAGGTATTTTTTACTTTTAATTCTAAATCAACAAATACTTGCAATCAATGATTACTATTCATTTATAACCACCCCCTCTATTTATTTCTTTAACTTGATAGAGAAATGATTACTTTTTATCACTAATTTTATTTGCCAAAGAAGCCTACAAAGTGGCACGAAGTATCTGAATTATTCTATTGAATAGTAGCAGCAAGATTTCACCACCATTATCAAGTAATTGATAAGTGTACACACACACACACACACACACACACACACACACACACACACACACACGTACAGGTATGCACACATGCCAGAATCCTGCAGTGACTTCTTCTCAGTTAGAAAAATGTTAAAAACCTTTTAAATTCTGCTTTCTATTCCCAGACACCTGTCTAATTTCACCACTAGCATGCTCTTCTTGGGCCTTTGACACACAACTGTTCTTTTGTCCTGGACCATTCTTCTTCAAAGTCCCAGGCGCCAACTCACCTTCTTGTCCATATTTCTTCTTTGTGACACTCACCAAACAAAAATTAAATGTCCTCTATATGGCCAGATTACGGTCACTATATCCCTCAAGTGTTTGTTTTTCTCTTTAGAAGTTAACCTTCATATAACATATTATCTATTTAAGTTCATTTGTATGTTGTTAGCTTGCCTCTGCCCACATCATTAGCTCCCAGTAGATGAGTCCCATCATACAATAGTAAGAAGTTTTTTTTTTTTTAAAAATACATTGCTTCATTGCCATTCTCTATCATCTAAAATAATATCAGTGGCGCTAGAGACATAATTTAGGTAAGAATGTTTGCTGTTCTTCCAGAGAACCCAATTTGGGAGCTCACAATTGCCTATAATTCTAGGCTCATGGCATCCAACATCGTCCTCTGGCCTCTGCAGGTACCTGGACTCACATGTACATACCCAGCACAGATCCGCGCTCATACACACAAGTAAAAGTAAACTAAATCTTAAAAACATAACAGTGTAAACATGAGAAAATACAGTAACCATTTACCAAGTAAATTACACATGCCTGCCAGAGAGGCAGAAATGATCAATGAAGACACTCAATTGGAAAAACAAGCAAATAAAAACCCATCACGAGACTCTGGTGACCACTGCTGATGGTAGCTGGAGATGGTGAGGTGAGAGAAAGCTTTTGAAGATGAGAACCGTGTGCCAGTGGGGAGCCTGGGGAACCAGAGGGCACAGATTCAGAGGAAGCCTGTTACCCAAGAGACTTGGAGCTAAAATGTCCCCCGGAACTGTAGTCACCAAAATTAAGGGAAACTATCTGGTCAATAATGACAGAAAGAGAGGGGACAGACCCCAAAGTAGACCTTTCAAAAATAAATCCCTGAAGTTTGACTTTCCATACTACTAGAAGCCATGTCTTAAATCGCCATATAGAGGGTTGTCTTAAGCGGTCACTTCCCCTTTGCGGCTCTTGCTGCCAGGGTTTCCTGTGCTATTGGTTTGCTGAGCAATGCATGGCTGGCTAAGGGCATTTGTAGGCCTGTGTTGTTTGATACCCCAGGCAAGTCAACCATCTAAGTCACTGATGCTAATCATTCTGGTCTGTGCTGTTGAATCAGTACAATGTGGGCTTCAAATTACAGCGTAATTTGAAAGTTGCTTCTTTAGCTTTGTACCCAGAATCAATAAGTGATAAGCGGACGTGGACCATAAAGTCTAGTACTGCAAAGTGACGCTTCTGGATATGTAAACAAGGCACTCGCCAGGTCACAATAGGTTAGACTGTGAAAGGCTGTAACCAAAAAGACCTAGCCCCAAGTAGGCATCTCTCACACAGCCCTGGCAATGCGACTTTCTATTTAGCACATCTCAGAGCCCACCACCTACTGTCTACTTGTTTGGGAGGCTGTTTATTCTTGCAGTGGTGTATCATTTTCCCTTAGAAAAGGCCTATTTCTTGGTAGCCTTGTTACAAACAGCACATAAAAGAGACAAGGAAGAAGACTGCATGATTTTTAGCACAGCTGATCCTGTTCCCTCCTGAAGTTCGGCCCCTATAGGTGTTTGTGTTTGTAACCCCTGGTTATGTTTTCTCTATAGATGCAGAGAAATTGTTACTCTAAGTGGTTTAATGATTCATCAGACTTGACATTAACAATTTTTTAAAATTGTGAATCTACCTGCGTCTGACTGACTCTCCCAGCCTGTGTTACCACCAAGAGTGAAGAATTAATGCTTTATCCAGCAAAAAGATTTGGGGACTAGTCTGTCATGTGTAAAATCTATTCAGCTCTCCTTAGCACAGCCCTTGAATATTCCCTGTGGCTTGGCTGAATTGACTGGAAACAAGATAAGTCATCTAAATTCTGCAGGTATTGCCATTCCTAGCAACCAATTTGATTTTTGATGGACAAAGAGCCCCAGGAAAGTAGATGCCTTTGTATATGAGAAAAAAGAAATCCCCAACAAGATAGACATACCCTCATCAGCATGCTCCCGCTATGACAGCGTGCAAGTGAGTGATCCATTTTGTTCTGAACTCCGGCTCTGCCAACGCAGTACGCGCTTTAGCAGAACAAATCAAAGGAATGTATTTGACTTGTGTTTTGGCATCTGAAAACACGAAGCCATATTTCCTCATGCGGCATTCTTCCTATCCCACATTTTTTTAATTTGAGCTCTTTTCTCGCAGACGCCATTGCCAGAATGAGAATGAAAAGTAAGAGTGAACCAGGGTGTCATTGCTCACCACGCTTCCCAGTGTTAGAGCAAGTGCTGTCTGTGGTTCAGAGTACCCGACCCCAAGAAGACACTCAGTCCTTGACTATGCAGTCAGCGGGCACAGATTTCAATCCTTGGCTCCCGTTCCTTCTGCAGGTCCGTGTGACAGCTATGAGTGGAATTTTAAAGGGGACCTTTGAAGAAGCTGACAGCGCCTCCCTCTGCTCCTCTGTGCAGGAATCAGATGATGACGTTTTTAGCTGTGACAGTGCTGAGAGTCTTGATAGTATCAGTCTGTCCATACCTGATCATTTACCCGTGAGTATCTGAAGCTGTATTTCGTGTTTCCCTTCCTCTACATCATTTTTGGATGATTCGTTCTTGGGGGCTTCAGCTTACTTAATTCTACTTCCAAGTTCTTTATCATACAAATGCATCTGAAAGTATCATTGTTTAATTAGTCCTCAAGGTATGCGCCCCCCCCCCCCCATATCTCTAATGGGATGGGTCTGGAGGAGTCAGAATTTAATTAGCAGTAAGCAGACAGCAGCTGAGAACCATTTCATCTTGGCTTTCTAAACTAGGTCTTTGTTTGAAAAATCGAATTAATGGTATCTGATACTGTAATCATGGTCAGTGGGTTGGGAAGTATATGACATCCAAGTGTTGTACACTCACGTAGACTAGACTTGATTTTGTAATTTTGAAGATCAATCCCAGATTCTTGCACTTGCAAGGTGCGCACTTTGCCACTGAGACACATCCTTAGGACAGAGAAAGGGGGAGGAGAGGGGAGGGGAGGGGACAAGGGAAGAGAACCACCAAGCTTGATGAACCCACAAGGTGGAAGGAGAGAACCCACGCTTGAAAAGTGTCCTCTGACTCCTCATACATGCCCACACGCATACAGACACACATAGAAATAAATAAGTAAATGTGATATAGTAATTAAGCGGATTTCAGAAGATATGCTGCTACAAAAGCCAGACTCTGAAAGGTCTGAAATTTTACAGACAGAGGCAAAACTCAGATGTGAGGCTAGGCTCATGAACTAGAGTAAAGATGGCTTTCTGTACATATTTACATCTAAGGAGATTAACTTGGAGAAAACGAGTGGAATCGTAGGATATGTTCTGATTTATTACCCCACCCATTTTCTTGTAGTATGTATTCTAATTGTTCTTAATAAAAACCTGGAGTCAGATAAAAGGGGGTGAAAGCTAAGAGATCAGAGTAGAGCCATCAACCACTAGAGAGACCTTTTACTTCTACTGATGCTCAGGCCAAAAGGGTGATCCTGTCTTCAGATTGCCTCTGCCTCCCCAGACTATGTCCTTTGACTGCTCTAAGCTCCCGTCTCCTCCCACCTTATATTCCTCTCTCTGCCCAGCCATATCATTCCTCTCTCCACCTCCCTCGTGCTGGGATTAAAGGCGTGGGATCCCAAGTGCTGGGACACCTTTGTGTGAGCTCTCCTTTAGACAGAGTTGGTCTTGCATTACCCAGGGTGGCCTTGAACTGCCTGCCTCAGAGTCCTGGTATTAAAGGTGTATGCTACCATGCCCTGGCCTCTAGTAACTTCTCTTTGCACTTTGATCTTCAGGCAATCCTTATTTGTTAAAACACAAATAAAGTATCACTTTTTAGTGACAGTTATTGTAAGATTGTTTAGTGACATTGTATTTTGGGAGACTGTGCTTTTTTTCTGTTTCCTGCTCTTCCACACTTTCCTCCAAGCAGCTGTACTCTTGAGAAAGGCCTGGATGCTGTGCTTGGAGAGTTGCCTTTTCACGCTGACCACTGGAGAAACTGGGTAGCATTTCTCATTTTCCAGTCAGGCACTCCTGAAAAGCATCCTTGTCTAAGAGGTTGCTTCCCCGAGGAAGCCCCTAATCTGATAGCACAGAGTACTAATCTAGTAGTACAGAAGAGCAAGTTGTACACCTCTGTGATTTTCTTTCTCCTTAAGCTCCAATAGTTTTTCAGTATCCTTGGCATCCGTGCATCTCCTAAAGTCTCAAATTGGTTCTCTCCTGGAAAAAAAAATCAATCTCAAGACTTCTCTATGCAAGACATCAATTGATTTCTGTGGCTTGTGAGCTCACAAAGTACCTGTAATGTTCATTTAAGCACCATCGGATCTTACAGATGTGGTTCAAGAAGCATTCCGGACGAGAGTGATGTTCTGGCACCTTAGGGAAGGCTAGAGAAAGTGTGGGTACAGCAGTTGATCGGAACATTTGAGCAGTTTCCTGGAAGAATAGAAGAGGCAGGTGGGAGTTTCTTTCCAAAATAGTTTGATATGTGGTAACTATTCCATTACCTCTGTAGGGCGCCTGTAGAGGAGGAGACTCAAACCCATCATGGTCAGAGAAGTCTTAGGTGGTAAGCCTTGTTGAGTTTCTTTTCTGTTGGGGTCTTGGTGGTGGTTTGTGTTCTGTTTTTCCCATCATCAGCTCGGGTGATGAACTTGGCTTGGTGATTTTTTTTTTTCAGTGTTGAAAGGGAATGTCTGCTGATTCCCCTTTGGAAGGGAATGCTAATGTTTATCATTTGGTAGATTGCAACCGAGAGCTGCGAGTGGGGCCCCACTAGGAGGAGGATGAAGAAGAATGGGCAGATACGATATCCTGGGGACTTTTCTGTCACTGTGGGTTGCACTCGGTCTAGTCTCAAACTCAAAACCTTATTATTAACTAATGGGAAGCTGGGAAAAAAAGAAGAAACCCCACAACCCCATATCTTTTTCTTTAAGAAAAACTGATGGCTTGGTACAGGCTAAGACAAGAGACAGCACTAGTGCTGAATCTCATTTTATGACTCCAGGAACATTAGCAGGGCTTTTGAGAGGAGCTGGGCTGCCTCTCGCTCTACAGCTGTGGAGGCCAAGACCACGGAGAGGTCTTGACAAGAATAAAAATGTGAGCTGTGGCAGAGTAGTTAAATGGCAACCTCTAGACCCCGCCTTTCGACCCAACCCTGCAGCTCCATGGTTTACTTACTTACTGACTGCTAAGTATGGCAAACCAGCTCGTCACGGCTGTGACATGGCTGCTGCTCTCCTGTCAACCCCTCCTAGAGGGCAAGTGCATCTGTCTTTTGGCAAACGCACATGAGTCAAGAGATGGTATAGCAGAGAAGTCACGCTGTGCGCGAAGTGGCAGTCTGCTTCCCCTTTCTGCTAGGAAGCGACAGGGCAGGTTTTCCTCCTGTGTCGCTGATGGAAATATCGCAGAGCAAACACGTCATACATTTGCGTGAAAGAAATTGGTTTGTCCTTGGGGCATAATGCTTCTTGTGAGAGTGATGGAAATGTTGCCATGAAAAGGGGGTGAGCCGAAGAACGCAGAGAGGATCTTGAACAGCAGCTAGCTAATCCAGGGCTGTAGTATGGAGCGGCAGGCCGCTTCCCGCCACCCGACTCCTGCATGGCTAGCTTTACCCCAAAATAATTACACGGAAGCTGTATTCTTTTAAACACTGCTTGGCCCATTAGCTGTAGCCCCTTACTGGCTAATTCTCACATCTTGATTAACCCATTTCTATTAATGAGTGTAGCACCACGAGGTGGTAGCTTACCAGGAAGATCTTAACCTGCATCCATCTTGGAGAGGAGAGCTATGGCGACTCTCTGACTCAACTTCTTTTTCCCAGCATTCTGTTCTGTCTACTCCACCTACCTAATTTTCTGTCCTATCAAAGGCCAAGTAGTTTCTTTATTAATTAACCAATGAAAGCAACAGATAGACAAATGACCCACCTCCATCACAGGGCTATAGAACTGCCTCTGCAGATAATGATTCTCAGGCGTTTCTGTTTTGTCCCAGATGGGAATCGGGCATGTTGAACTCCATGGAAACAGATCACATCTGTCTGTCTCTTTAACTCCAGGGCATAGTATTGCTCATTTCACAGTTCGGGCCTTCAGAACCTTCTGCCCTCTGATTCTAGTTGAACCTACTAAGTCACAACTTGCCATTAAGGGGAGGAATTATATTCTTGCACTGGCAAGGTACATAATTCACTTTTATATTTGTTTGTTTTAAACTTTGACAAATCACCAAAATTCAGCATCGAATGTAAAAGCATAGTTGGACCAAATTTCCCAAAAAATCTGATGTGTCTGCAATAGGCTATCAAGAATAACTATGTTGTGGTTTTAACTCTGTTAGCTGCTGGTGAAAAAGGAAATGTAAGGGCAGTTCTGTGGTGTGGATGGTACTGTCTTTCACCTGAGTTGAAGGTTAAGGCTTTGCTAACATGAGATCTGAGATATATAATAGAAAAATTCCCACTTCCTACATCTATTATTTACTCAAGATGTTTATAGGTGGATGGATTTTGTCACTGTATTTCATTCAGAGAAGAATTAAAGTCGTTATTAAATATTAATGATACCATCTTCACATTAGTGATCGAAACGCTTTTCTCTGACAGGATAATCTATTTATAGATAAATCTTAGAATGTTTACATTTTATAAACATCTCAATAGAGAGTCATATCTGTCAAAGGTGAGGGGACAGAGGCAGCATGCTGTCACTCACTCTTAGTAGCCCCAGGAGTTCCCTTAATTGTTTATGAACTTCTACCAAAACTAAATTAAAATTTGTATTTGTAGGGCATAAAAGAATGTCAGGAATAGCCAGTTGGAAACAGGAGTTCTATTAAAGATAATGTTAATGCAGACTTTCAACAGAAGGGTTAAGAGAAAGTGTGGGAATTGGCTCCTCCAAAAAAAAGTCACAACTAACTGTCCTAAATTAGCCAAATATGCATTTATGTGTGTGTCTGTTTAAAGCTACATCTCAAAAAGTAGCTGTAAAACCACTTTCCCCTTTCCCTTCTCATTAATAAGTGAGATGATAGGGAGGAGGGGGAGATGCCTGGGGTGAAATTATAATCTCATAAAACTAGAAGAGGAAGGATTACACAAAGGTGTTCGTACTTGTCCATCTCCTGTGAGTGGGCTTTCTGGTGAGATTCCTAGAAAATTACAGGTATACACCTGGGACTAGAGAGGCTGCAGTAATTGATACACAAGCCGGAATTCTTCCTATTTTGCTGGGAAGAGGTTCCAGCCAGATTTCCAAGGAAAGGGCTCTTTTCCATTCTGTGTCCCCATTGTCCCCATTTTTCCTTCTGTTTACCCCAATGGCCTTACTCTGGGATCATCTAAGAGTGGCCACAAGCACTGAATGATGGATTGCCCCACTGAAAATATACTGTGGCTTGTAGGCTGATCTAAATAAAGTGAGGTGATTAAAATTCTAACGTCCATCTTGCCAGAGTCACAATCTTCTGGGTTTGTGTTGAAAA